TAGCAGTCATTATTTGCCTTAAATGCATTCAGTTTGTTGGAGAGCGGTTTATTTTAGCTTAAGAGACAGAGACAACTCAGTATATAAGTATAAGAGTTAAAATGTAATAACTAAATTAACCAATTTACTTATATTGACATAGACACACAATAAAGAGTGCTAGCAGCTAGTGTTGAGAGTGAGAGTGATCTTTTAATGATGTCACTGCCTAAATCAAGAGAAACTATTGTGACCGCGGAACATGCAAAGAACACGAATGCCGCTGTCGAGATCCAGTGTTTTGTTTGTTGGTTCTGGGCTACAGTAGAAACATGGCAGGCTCATTCTAAGGCACTGTTCTTATTTTTAGATGAGTATATACTAAGGAAAATATTGCATATTATATTACATTTTTGCTAATAGATCCTACTAGATGTTACAGAATTGCTACTTAATTAAACATTATATTAACATGTAAAATAACTATCAACATATATAGCCAAACCCCCATCTACATACATCCATACATAGTCACTAATGTGTCCAACCTTTCTGACTCTCCCCTCTCACATGTGACACATCCATCGATGCTCTTCGTGTTTTTTTTTGCTGCAGGACAGTCAGTAGTGAGTGAAAGAAAACCTTTACGACAAATCTTTCACTTTATTTATTTGGGTTATAACAGAATTTCTGTTGCAAGCTTGAAACCCAGTTGAAGAAACATGTTGCACTCAGAATGCATACTTTGAACCATATGTGCGTTTTGTCCAAATCCAACCAGGTCAATAGGCTACTTTGCTCTCCTGTGGTGAGTAACATATGTGGAGGATACATAATGTTATTCTGCTGGTTATTCTGTACACTGCACAGTTTTTACTGTTTCTACTGGCCTCTCAGCCAGATCTTAGTTTTGAAAAAAATATTTTAAATCTCAGTAAAATAGCATTTTGCCAAGATGAATTTCACGATTCTGTAAAAAACACCTCTTGGTATCAATAATTAAACAAGCTTTTTATTCACTTTAAGCTCCAGTGTGTACCATTTAGGAGGTTCCATGGGCAGACAGTAAATATAATATTCAGTTATTGCCATAACAGTGACTTTAGTAGTTAAAATGTTAATGTTAATATTAACTCTTAGATCAAGAAATATAACATACTTTTAATTCTATTTATTTTTGTTGTACAGTACAGTATTTGTTTGACAGTTTTGACAATTGTATGGTCCTGCCCTTGTTATATGTCTATAAATGTTATATGTCTTTATGTTTTCAGGTGATGATACATTAATGAAAACACGCCTGTGAATATAATATTCCATTTCTGCAAAAGGATCCTCCTAAATGTTGCACACTGGACCTTGTGCAAATCAAAACCATTAAATACTTAAAATCTACAATTCAGATCCTGGCTTATGGCCATGTCTATTGATTTCTGCCTTCATCTTGACTACCTCTGTGATAAACCTGAAGTCTTTTATGCTTGAGGGACTGTAGATTTCTATCTCAATTATCTCTCCAATGACCTGCAGTTTTTTTTAATGCATAAAGCGATGAAGTTGCAAAAGCAACAGCTCATTGTTCAACTGGTTTATTCTTCTGTAAAATAGGCTTGCCAATAGTTTGGCATTTAATAACTTGGAACCCACAACCATAATCTTCCTGGATCACACAAAAGGTGGTTGGGTGTCTATGAAACACTACTTTGTGGTAGCAAGGGTTTATGTTTCTATAACTTTAGTCATTATGCTCTTTTGGAATCTGTCTGAAGGCAATTAAGATAAAAGACTAAATTAAGATAAAAACAGCCAGCTCAGTATAGGCTATGGTCCATAGTTTGAAAGGAGAATATACTGTAAATGTCAGGGCAGTGCACACAGGTGGGCAAAGAGGATGGAGGCAGCATAAACTGAAGATACTAGCAATGATAGGCTGGCTCCATCTGTGGCTGCCAGACAGGCTTTAACAAAGCAGCTCCAGTATTGGTTGACCAGCTGACATTTTTCCTTCGCCTCTCCTTTCGGTGTGGGAACGCTTTGTGACAGGTGGTCTAAGATGACTGCTGATGCCTTCATGGCCACTAAACATCAGGCTGACTGCCTGTGCAGCTGCCATGTGGGAGTTGTGATAAGAAAATGAAGATCACAGATCACATTAATGTGTGTACACACTCCTAGACAGATGCACACATCTGCTCACATTACAAAACATCCCCATTAAGCTCACAAGATTCACACACAACACTACACTACAAAAAACAACATGTGTGTTTACTGTGTCAATAGATTGCGAATAGATGGATACTTCATCTTGTAATACCTGTTGTTGACTATAAGCAAACATGCTCATTAAGTGGGTGAGAAACTTTCAGTAGCCCTCTGTCTATTCAGAGAAAAAAGAAACAACAGAGTTTCATTCAAACTAACTAAAAGGTTTAAAGAAAAAACTTTTGGTTTTCATTTAACCAAGAAAAAAAAACAAGTACTACTTTCCTATATTTAAAGCTGTACCAATAAACAGTTTTATACTAACAATGTGTCAAATGACTGTATAATGTAAAAGTTGTCACTCACAGTGATACAAACACAGAGTTATTATCCAACTCTACAGACATTTTTCCTTAAGAGCATTATTTTGGTTTTATGCCACATAACTTGACAGTTTTAATTAAGTTTTAGTCCCACCATTCTCATTAAAGGCCAGCTATTTTAGAAAAATATTACACTGATAAAAGACGCTGCCTGTCCAGCATCAAATGGCAAACAAAAAAACTGTTAAAAAAGGCTTCATTAGACATTTTGCTTCTTCTGCCCTGATACACACAACATTAGCAACCATAGTGAGGTATTTAGCAGCTACATGGCAAAGATTATCTCTTTGCAGTAGGTATAGAGCAGAAGAAAAGTGGTACTGTGGCTGAGTACATGACTGTGAGCAAATGTCACAATACTGCAAATTGCAGTCTTCTTATTAAATGATCCATGACAGATGGAGGATCCTCTTAGAAATAAACCAAACAACTAGCCCAAATGACAGGAAAAATGTAAGAAAAAACATAATTCTCATAACACTGTTGACCAGTTCGAAGTGAGATGTAAGATATACAAATGGAAATGTTACAGTTTGACTGGCCTGCCTGCATAAACTCTGAGTCAACTGTTGTTTTAGACCATTTTTCCTGTGTGAACAAACCAAATAAAATGTTATTTTGAGCAGTCACTGTAATCAGGATCAAAGGAGAGCAGGACCACATGGCTTCACTGATTGAAGCAATGTGACAATATGACAAGCACCTGCACTGATTTCTTCTGTATAGTTAATTTTCCCTTTAGAAGGAGAGAAAAGAGCACTGCTTAATCTCCCTGCACTCCAGGTCAGCATTAAAGAAATATTTTTCTGGGTTAATGATGATTAAGTGTTCACTGGTTGGAAACAGATACTTTCAGTTCACCGTTCACTGAAAAAAATCAACAAACATGCTTTTTAGCACATTCATGCACAACATGCATTTCTAGAAAATATTGTCACGTGTTTCTCTTGAAACAGTCAATGCATTGTTTTCATTGTGTTTCATCATAGTCTATTCTATGGATTTTTATGTCACATCAAGAAGAAGAAGAAGTAAGCGCCACTGTAACAGGTAACAGACAGCATACAGGATGAGAATCACACAAAAATTATCCACATAGGAGAAAAATATAGTAAACAATCTGCTATGCTTCACAGTTCCTTTCAAATATAATTATTGTTAATAAAACAAATTCAAACGACACACAACAAATAAGTCTATAGATCTTAAGACCATCTGGGATTTAATTTTCAGTTCAATTTTATTTGTATAGCGCTAATTCA